GCAGTTGGGTGATCTGTTATCCATTCTGTTGTAAAAGTCACTTGACAATCAAACAGGAGATTTTGTTTAACAATGAACAGACGTTTCTGAGATACTTCAGCCCACATGGGTATTTTTCCTTTCGCACCAGAGGCGAAAGTTACATTTCTGGATTATCAACAAGAAAAAGTGAAGTACCAAACTACATTGTTTGTTGCTGAAATTACACATTATCATCTTAAATTACAAACATCAAAACTCTTTGGGCTTTGAGCATTTCTAACCCATCCGCCCCACCATTGGTAGGAGAGCCTTCAGCCACTCTGCCCCCAATCTCTGGAATTCCATCCTCCAGTCATTCCGCCTCGCCCCGTCCTTAGCCTCCTTCAACTCCCGCCTCTTCAACCATGCCATCGGCCTCCCCCCTTCCCCTCCCCTCCCTTCTCCCCCACTGACCCCAGCTCGGGTCTGAAATGCTGTACACTGTCCAGCGCCTTGGGACGTCCTCCCAACATGAAAGGAGCTATACAAATGTAATCTTGTTGTTGTTGTTGTTCCCGTCAAAGGAGGAGTCATTCTTTACCTAACAAGTACACGTGAAGCAGAAAGGAATAGAGGGATATGGGAGTGGGGTATTGAGAGGGGATCAAGATAGGTGAAGGTTCAGGTGGAGTATAAACACTGGTTGAGCTTGAATGTTTCGGTTCTGTGCAGTCTATGTAATTCTGTATTTATTTAATACCTTGTCAATTCCCTACATCTTTCCAGCTCTAGGGCATACCCAGCCTCTCTTAATAGCAAACTTATTTCAGGTCAATTAGCATTGGACTTCCTAACTGCCCTGGATTTCCTGACTGCACTGGACTTCCTCTTTATTAGGTGGGGAATCTAAAATAATACTCCCCTAAGTGATCAGCATAACCAATTACAGTAGGACTTCCTTGCTTTTATATTCTCGGGATACAGTGTGTAGTTTGGGACACGACATGTCAAGCGACTGCCAGAATGGCGGAAGGCAAACTAGATGGACCTTGGTCTTCTTTTGCTTAGCAAATTCTTATGTTCTTATATTCTTTTACTTTGCTGCATTTATTAAATAACTTGAACCTAGAGCCACAAAACACTCAATCACTAAGTGGAGATGATAGCAATTAATTAAAGTGTACAGGCAGGAGAATGGGGCTGAAGGAGATTACAAAGGTATGGTAGGGGCAAGGGCTTGGAGATCTACTTCATTAACAATTAGACAAAAGCAGAAAGCATAGATGATGGATCTTAATACCTTTTGGAGCATTTAAGGACTGCTGTCAGATTATGGTCGAGTTCATGGGAAGCCAAACCTAGTCATTATAAAAATGTGTTGGAGGGATCAGTGGCATTTTTCCATCTTTTAAGATCTCACAACTTCACACATCAATCCTGAATCATTTTGCTGGTTGAAATCTGTTGTCAAATGGCTTTCTCTGGGCTAATACCATTGAACAAGTTATGAAGTGGCCTTCAGCACATTCATGGTATGGGGGGATGTTGAACTTTGCTATCACTGTTCAGTGTTTTATGGACCCCAATAATATTTTGTGTTGACTTGGATGTTCTGGCATGATTCAGTTAAATTGATGCATTTGGGATCTGAGATGCAATGCTGTTACAGGTAGCAGAAAGTTCATTATTGCAGTGATTATGTAGCTGAACAGCAGGGAAATGTTGATTGGATGCCAACATGATGAAGTGTCCTGGGGTCTATTTTAGATTTATCAGCATTGACAGAGAATTTTCCACATTTCTTGGCAGATGTTGACAAGACTGTAGCCAAGTTTTTAAGCATGAACGCATCTGCTCTCCATTGTGTAAACTCTTCATGTTCCAGTTTTAGCACAGAATCTGCAAAAGGAAAGGATAGAAAACTTGATAGTTGAATCACAATAAAGTGTTTAACGCTGAAAGGGGTAGATCTTGTAATCCCAATCCGAGTACCTGCATCTAAAGCCTATCTCTTTGACTGCGACTGGCTTTCCAAATCTCTTCCAGCTCCCTCTCGGCTTAGGCTCTCCCCGTCTTTCTAAAACAATTTGAAACATTCGCCTTAATTGAAAGCTATAGAAACAGGAGTAGGCCATTCAGCCCCTGTAGCTTGTTCCGCCATTCTATAAAATCATGGCTGATCTGCATCTCAACTCCAATTACCCTGAGTAATTTATTCAAGTTGTCACATTATTCTTCAAGCAGTTTTAAAATTCAAAATTAATTTAATTCCAAATGTCAAAATGACTTTATTGAAAATTGCATGAGAGCAGGGTTGTCCATTACGTTTGCCACATGTGTTGAATTGGGAATCCAGATAATAATAATAATAATCCTTGCATTTGATATAGTGCTTTTTCACATCTTCTAGACGTCTCAAGGCGCTTCACAGAATATGCTGTAAAGTAAATTGACTGTATATTTGTGGGCGAAACGCGGCAGCCAATTACGCACAGCAGTGTCCCAAAAACAGTCGTGATTGAAAATGAAAATGATGTGGTGTAATCCCAATACTCATATTTGCACGGTGTTTCCATGAATACTTTGGCTTTTTTTGTGTGTTTGTTGGTAAGATGAAAAGCAGCGTGTGTGAATGTTTTTCGATTGTTGTGTGTGTTTTACTACCTCGGCTACTGGTTATTGATTATCTGCTCAAATGGTGTATAACACGGGTGAAAATGCTGGATTTCAGCACCATGGAAACACCAGCAATATTATATGGAGAGGGGAACTGTCAGTCGTCAATCAGAGTAACCGCTCTAGGCCAGCAGAAAAAAGGCAAGCCCGGCTTGGGAGAATCAGGTGATTTTCAGGACAAGTAGCCTCCCAAAATGACACACTTCCCTCTGGAAGCAAAGTTATAATGTAACAACAGCATTATAAGCACACCAGAATAATTTTACAAAATTTACTGAACATGCGAGAATAACGCTCGGCCCATATTAATGAATATACTACATGGAGCCCACGAAACAGAATAATGTTCCCGGGTAGTATTTTCCTGGACTTCTTCACTTGAACTAATCTTGTGATATGACCTTAAGCCTCTCATCGGTATGCTAAACAGGCTAAGCAATCGTCAGCATTGCCTTAGGTACTGTAGACTTCCCCAAATGTGACTTCTTGGTGCCATTTCAGTTCAGGCTTTCTTGGAAAGTTCCAGATAATTTACACTATTACGGTAAGTGTGCTATTAATTATCATTTTACTCTAATAAGAAATTTCATGAGATATTTAATTAACTAAAATCATAGTTCAATAATCATCATTTCAATAATAGTGAAAAATAATCCCAAATGGCAAATCAGATGGCAAGAAATAAGGTCATGCCTTTTGTTGTTAGCTATTAACCTGCTGCAAAAAATCGCCTTCTGTGTATCTGGCATTTTTCCCTTTTAGTTCTAGTTAGTTCAACATATGGAAAGGAAGTCCTACAGGAATCTACTGCTAATAAAATTGATTTTTCCACTGTATTGGAACTTTTTTTTTAGAAGAGTTGAATTAATTTTGTTTGAGATGTTAATCTCAAATCCTTTTTATGCATGCTCATTCATATAATTTCTTTAAATCAATTTTCCTCCATCTTCAAGACAAGCTTATTTTCCTAGTAATTTCTATTTTGATAGCTATAATTGTTTTTGGTTTTAAGCATTAGAAGTTTTCATTTGATACTTCACTTTCCAAAATACTACATTCCTATTATCTCTTGTCAATAAGATCCACATTCAATCAGCAAAGTATGTATTTCATATATCTTCACAGACTATTGGCTGATTTTCACTAGTGAGGTACAGATGAAGAAGGCTGTCTAGAATACCTACTATGTCATCTTCCCACAACCATATATAGATGTTTCTTAAATGAGTCTAATGATCACTAAGTACTTCTGTCTTTCCAAAATTGCCCTTCACAATCTAGAACCCGTGTCATCTTGCGCTGCTACTGTGAGGCATCTGAAACTATTGTATTGTGTCTACTTGCTCAAACTTATTTAATATCTTGATTCCATCTAAAATATCCTTTGAGTTGCCTCTTTTCAAGGCTGAAGAGCCCTAGCTTATCGTAGCTTGGAGCCGGCAATTTTCCTCTTTCAATTTATTGTTTATGTTCTATCCATGGTTTTGTTGCCTTGGTCTGGCATCTACCATCCTAATTGGCTCTGAGCAAGCAGATTGTGATTAAAGCTGTTGAGCACCACTTTAATTATAGGTACACTGCAGAATTAGCCAAAATGTATTAATGATTGAGTAGGTGGGGAGGAATGGTTGATCAAAAGCACAGGAAGAGTTTACTACAGTCTCTGATAATTTATGATATTTCGCTTTACTGAGAAGCAGACCTCTTGTGGATAGGTACTGGAATAATGTATTGTTTATTTAATTGCCACAATAAATCAGATTTTTTTCCGATATTGCTGATATCAAGTCTGGCAAAAACGGCGTGCTATAAACCTTTCAATGCCTCAATACAAACAGTAATGTAAGCACATTTTAGTGATCCAGTCTTTCTTAAATTGTACCTTTAAAAATGACAAAACATGGTCATAGTTTAGTACAACAATATGTACCAAACTCCATTGTGTGTTCTTGTGCAAGGAACAGAATTAAAGTGCTTTCCACAAGTGGGGAAGCAGCAGAAATCACAGTGTTAATTATCCCAAACTACTCTTCCAACAGCCAGATCAAAAATGGCATTGGCAGAGTATTTGGAGCAAGTTATTTGTTGCTTTTCATAGACTAATATGGGACAATGGAAGACTTCAGTGTCTTCCGGAGAAAACAAATGATTTTAACGTTGATACTAAAAATATAATGCATTATACATAACCAACAATTAATAGAATCTAATTTGTTTCACCCACACAATACAGTTAATCCACTTTACAATATGTTCTGTGAAGCGCTTTGAGACATCTCAATTTCATGATAAGGTGTTATATCAAATGCAATTTGATATATTATTATAATTTATTGACAATGTTTATCCTTTTAATGATGCAGATGCCAATTCTACAGAGTTTGATTCAAGCACAAGTCACCCAGTGGTAAGATTCATACTTTTTCTGGGAATATTTAGCAGAATTTTCAGCAATTCTTAAAAAGAAGTTGGCTTCCAAGTTAAGGCTGAATTGAAGACTTTTCCTCAATTCCAGTCATCTTAAATTGTAAGACAAAATGGTCTTGGAGGCCTATACTAAATGGAATTTTTTGTCTAATATTTGCACACTTATTTATTTAATTCGAATTGAATACTTTTCTACAGTTATATTTAAAGTTAAATACTTTTCTAAAAATAAGGTTCTGTGTACTGGAGTGTAAGTGCAGACCACATCATTTGGTACACTGCTATGTGCAATTTGCTGCTATGTTTCACCCACAAAATACACAATCAATTCACTTAACAATATATTCTGTGAAGCGCTTTGAGATATCTCAACAACGTGATAAGGCGCTATATCAAATGCAAGGATTATTATTTGCCCTTTTCACACATGGTTGAAAGTGGGATACCAAGCCTTACCTCGCCAGATGTGCAAAAATTAGACTTCGGAAAGTGATGAAAAATGGCTGAAATTGAAGATTAAGTTTAGATATTTAGTTGACTTTATGAAACTATTTCTCTGTTGCTGAGATGTTGGACAGACCTGAACAGTTTGCTGTGTAACACTGTTAAGCTTTCAAACAGAAACATGTCAGATATAAATTGTAATACATATGAAAGTATCAGCTAAAGGCTGGTTAGTGGCATGCCAGATGTCCACTTTGAGGCTTGACTGAGCTGTGGATCATTTGTTGTGGCAGCTCACATCAGTTGGCCTCCTTCCAACTCAGAGAATGTACAATATAAATTTATATAGTGCCTTTCACGTTGGGAATTTATAAAAGTAACTTTGAAATGTCTGTGGGAACATCTTTTTATTTTCTGTATTATAGCAAGACGGTAAACGTAGAGATATTCAGCACAGAAGGAGGCTAATCGCCTAGTGTGTCTGAGCCGCATCTGTATTATCAACCTTCATTGTTCATCCCTTTTTACAGCACTATTCCCATATCTCGTAATATTTTTACTGCTCAGGTGATTATCCGTTACCATTCCCCCAAAAGCCAGAGGCTCAGGCAATCAGCTTTAGTGGCATCATCATAACTTGTGATTCTAAACCAGGGATTTTGATGTTTTTTTGATGTTCAATGATCCCATTCCAGCAACCAATAAATATAATGTTATCACTGTTATGTGACCTAGTAGATAATGGTGCCACCTAGTACAGCACTGGGCCACAAAAATTGGAAGACTGCAGATTTAAATCCAGAGTGCGCTCGGCTTTTTGTCAGACAAGTGACTGACACACACAGAAACTCATTACAATGTTTAAGATTATGTGGAACTAAACTACTGAGAGTTCCACACTTGTGTGGAAATTTCAGTTTGTCTAGAACGGAGTTTGCACTCTCTCCCTGGAGGGGTGATTGCTCACATAATACTGAACATGAAGGCGCAGATATTTACCTGAAGGCGCAGATTGGCAATCGCTGGTTTACTGCTTAAGTTTAACCAGCTAAAACTGTGTAGCTTGCCTTTGTGAACACTGACTGGCAAGCTTCCTGCTGCTTTAACAGCCGGAACCACTTTACTTATTAGGACCATAACTTGTAAGGATAGTGGGAGCCAATCCAAGTTCCCAGAGAGTGATCTGTTCTTCTAAGTCCTGCTGATGAGCCATTTTGTAGTACTGCGGACCCACCTGGCTCAGAAAACGCAACTGCTGAGACTCGACAGAAGATTGACACAATTTTCATGTTCCATTGCCAGTTACCACGTACTTGCCACTTCTTCAACCCTTCTCGGGAGAGTAGATTTAACTGATGTTGCCGAGGTGGTTTGGAGAAAAATTATACTGGGTTCCCACTTCTGACCACTTGGTTTGGTACTGTAAATGGGAGATGGGTGCATAGAGAGCACCAAAACAGAAAATGTGGAAAGAGACCAGACAATTCCACCTACCAGTTGCACTATCTCCGCAAATGTACCCTGTCTTATACTTGAGCCCACACACCGTCTCCTGGAGAAAATAATATATCGAACCATCCTGGATTCCAAAGCTAATATCACAAACAGTCCAGAATATGTGTCCATCCCCATACCTTTGCTACGCTAATCTTATATAAACTACTTACGATGCAATTTACATTTATAAAGCACCTTTCACGTCGAGAGGACGTACCCGTGGGTATTTACAATGCTGGATGGTGATGTTTGCTGGGGGTAAGAGGTGAGGCAGATAATATTCTCCACAGGTAATATTCTCCTCTGCCCCAACAGCACAGGAATCATTATGTCCAGTGAAATATCTGTTCATCTCAGACTACACTTATATCTCGCTCTACTGTCTTCAACCAGGCACTTATCTGGTGTTGTATATGCTCAGGTAAATTGTATATCAGATACTCTCACACTTATGCTCACAACTAAAAAATCTTTTTGACATTTTATTCCAAGGCCTCAACTATTTACAATCTACATCAACGATCTAGATGAGGACATCAAACTTAATATATCCAAATTCGCGGATGACACTAAACTAGAAGGGAGAACAAACACTGAGGATGATATTAAAAAAATGCAACAAGATATAGATAAGCTAGGTGAGTGGGCAAATAGGTGGCAGATGAAGTATAATGTAGGGAAGTGTGAGGTCATCCACCTAGGTGGCAAAAACAGTAGAACAGATTATTTTTTAGAAGGGGAGAGACTAGATAGTGTTAGCGTTCAGAAAAGTTAGTTTGCAGGTACAGCAAGCATTTAGGAAGGCTAACAGTATGTTGGCATTTTTACAAAAGTGTTAGAATATAAGAGTAGGGAAGTCTTGCTGCAACTGTATAGGGCCCTGGTGAGACCGCACCTAGAGTATCTTGTACAGTTTTGGTCTCCTTATTTAAGAAAGGATGTACTCGGCTTGGAGGGGGTGCAGCGTAGATTCACTAGGTTGGTACCAGGGATGAGGGGGATGAGTTATGAGGATAGGTTGAGCAATTTAGGCCTATATTCTCTAGAATATAGAAGAATGAGAGGTGATCTTATAGAAACCTATAAGATTATTAAGGGGCACGACAGAATAGATAGTGAGAAACTTTATCTCCTGGTTGGAGAAACTATAACCGGGGTCACAGTCTTAAAATTCGGGGTAAGCCCTTTCGCACTGAGTTGAGGAAAAACTTCTTCACTCAGAGGGTAGTGAATTTATGGAATTCTCTACCCCGAAGGGCTGTAGATGCTCAGTCCTTGAACATATTCAAGACTGAGATTGATAGATTCCTTGTGGATAAAGGGAATAAGGGATATGGGGATAGGACGGGTAGGTGGAGTTAGAATAGATCAGCCACGATCTTATTGAATGGCGGGGCAGGCTAGAGGGGCCGAATGGCCTACTCCTGCTCCTAATTCTTATGTTCTAAGTTCACTTTCACAGCTAAATCCAATGATGTGGGAAGGCAGTTATGGGATGATTTACTGTGCTTAGTTTGATTTTTATTGTGCCAGTAACAGGTTCAATACTAATCTGCTGACAGGGTTTGTTTGATTTTCTGGATCATTTCAGGCACACTTAGCAGCTGCTGCTGACATGGTGTATTTCATCAGACTGGTAAAGAATTTAAGATTTTACATTTACAGGATCTGTAAGATAAATTATGTACCAACTGCAGTGAAATCTATGTGATGGGTTTGACATTCACGTTGAGCACAGCACAGGCTTGAATTTAAAGATGTATCTATTTGTCTGCTGTTTGATAATTTCCTTATCCTTATTTGGCTTGCACTCTGTGAGCTAAAACTCTCTGAATAGAATATTGGGAAAGTGTAATTGAAACACAGGGCTGTAATACAGGTATTGTAATTTGAATAAAGACAAGGGACTGATATGCCTACTGTTTTCATTCGAGTGAGAATCCGCGAGTGACTATATAGGTTTGTGTGGCACATCTTTCAGTTCTTGCCAAATCCGCAGAATAATATTCACAGAATGTGGGACTCTGTGTTTGTGGTAACTGGTCAGCCAGTTACAATTTATAAAAGCTCATGAATTGACACTGAAAACCTCTCATACCCTCTAAAGAAGATTCTGGTCAACATAACAAGAACAACTTGCATTTATATAATGCCGTTCAAAGATGAGTTTGGATGCCTAGCAAGTGGGCAGAGAAGCGAGAGATAACTATAGACAAGGTTGAAGAGGTACATTCTAAAATGGGGTTTATAGACAGCGAGGGGGTGGGGGTAGGAGGATGGAGATTCAGAGATTAAGGGTATAATAGCTGAATAGCTAATACTGTGAATAGTAAAACGAGATAGTTATTTAGATTCAGGTCTCAGAAACTAGCCCATTTCTCTCCCCCTTCCAATATTCAATGTTGATTTTGATCCAAGAGATATGTATATTGTAATTAGAATAAGAAAAACAAGTTTTTTTTAAAACCTTTCCACAGAATAACTGGTCAATAGTATTCATCCATTCAAATTAAATTTTTATTAGATCATGGCTGATATTTTAATTGAATTTTCCTGCCTTTTTTCCATATCCTTTAATATCTTTATTTGAGTACTTTGATCACAATATAAGACTATTCATCTTATATTTTTCATCAAACAGTATTTTGTCAGGATATTAGGTTAGAAACCACAAATTTGCTGTTCATTTCAACATTGTCCCTTGTTTTGAATCTCTCCACCAGATTTAAGAGTTAACTGCTATCTAGCTTGCCAATTCCTCTTAATATTTTAAAATCCTCAATTAGATCACCCATTAACCTCCTCAGATGTAAGGAATATCACCCCAATTTGCCGTCTTTCATCATAGATAAATCCCAGGTATTAATCTGGTGCATCATTGTTTTTTCCTCATCACCCCGGGTAACTGACGCATGTGGAAACTCTTCGCCTTGCTTAAGAGTACCTAAACAAGACCGAGAGTACAAAACAGAATGCATCATTGTTGAATGCCCTCCAAGACTTGTATATCCTTTCTAAGGTTAGATACCTAAATATGGA